AGTCCCTCGGGAGCACTGTGATGGGTGTAACCCAATAAACCTAAGCTCCCTGTGGCAAGGGAGAAAGAACAAATCAATGTCACCCTACACATCCATCTGCTATAAAGCAAAGTAAAGGCCCTCCCGTTGATCATCAATTTGCTCGAGCGGGCCCAGTAACGTCTCCATTGGAGACTTTGTTGTTACTGTGTCTGGCATATCGAATACGTCACAGGGAGCTTGCCAGGCTCTGCCGTGCGGGCGAGATACTCTCGGTAGCTTGCCAGGCTCTCCGAGAGGGGCGGAGGAATCGAACTCAGGTCGGCCATGTTGGCCATGTCCATCTGCTATATATGGAAACAATTGTGTAAAAGAGCTCTAGTATATATTTTGTGATGAATGCTATTTAGATAGATTAAATACATCTTCAGATGTGCCGAAAGTGACCAGATTAAATCATATTTACCAAGCTGAGAAGCACAGTGCTTTTCCCTCTTTCAACCATAAAATGTATAGTCATAACTAGAAAATCATAGTTCAAAATGCCAGCCATTTTATAGGATTAGCCACTTAAAATTTTCATATACTATGATTCCATAAAAATATATATGTAGCTTGTGGACTGGAATCAATACTGTCAAAAACGACTATCCTATTGAAACTGCTATGTGAATTCAATTCAATCCCTACCCAAACTCAGACAATATTTTTCAGGACTTATAACAGTCAATTATAAAGTTTGTGTGGAATAATAAAAGATCTAAGTAGCCAAAACAATACTGAAAAATAAGAAATTGGGAGGCATCTGGTTACCTGAGCTGAAGCTACACTATAAAGCCATAGTGATCAAAACAGTATGGCAATGGAACAAAGAAAGATGCCAGCAGGTCAATCATGTAATTCTCTGATCTATGGTTCAGAATAGAATATCCAAGGACAAACTCCCATATATATGGCCAGTTAATTTTTGACAAAGGACTGAGAGCATGAAATGGAATAAATACAAAAGGTGTAGGGAGAATTAGATAACCACATATAAGAAATTAGAGCTAACCTTTATCTCACCCCTTACACAAAAGTCAATTCAAAGTGGATTAAAGAGATCAGAACTGAATTCATAAAGTAATTGAGGAAAATATAGGCAAAATACTCTAAGATCTAAATCTCCAAGGAGTCTTCAATGATACAATGCCATTGGCAAAGACTACTGAATCAAAACTAAACAAATGGGACTACATCAAATTAAGAAGTCTGTGTACAGCAAAAGAAACACAGGCTAAACTAAAAGATAGATGAGTGGAAGGACATATTTGAACTCAACACATCAGATAAAGAGTTGATGCCAAAGTTTATAAAGTACTCACAAATATCGACAAAAATAAAAATCTAAAAATCCTATCAAAAATGGGGAAACAAACTGACACTTCTCAGGTGATGACCAACAAGCACATGAAAAAATAGTCACATCACTTGTTATTAGGGAAGTCCCACTCAGGAAAACAATAAGATATCATCTTACACCAGTGAGAATGGCACAGATCAAAAATACAGAGAACAATATAGTTAGGCAGGGAATTGGTGAAAAGGAACTCTCATCCACTGCTGGTGGTTATGTTGTCTGGTCCAACCCTTATGTAAAAAATTTGGAAGATTCTCAGTAAACTCAGAATTGAGCTGTCATATGACCCAGAAATTTCACTTTTGGGTATCTATCCCCAAACAAGAACAAAAAATTCACTCAAAAGGACATACACACACCAGAATTCACTGTGGCTCTCAGTACAGTACTTAAGATCTGGGATCTTAAGCTAGATATCCAATGACAGTTAAGTGGATCATGAATGCATGGTGTGAATGCATAATGGAATACTACAGAGCTGCAGGAAATGACAAAATCATGTAATTCACGGCAACAGGAATAGAACCGGAAGATACCATGTCAAATGAAGTAAGTCAGAGGAGGATAAACAGAGGATGATATCCATTACTAGTATTATTATTACTATTATTATTATATATTCTAACTATGTACTAGTTAGAACAACTGGATGAGGAAATGCAACGGTTTAAAGGTGAGCTGGGGGAAAAGGGGTATGGTGCTGCCAGCAGGTGAATCTGTACCTGTGAGGCGAGTGCCTGATGGTGCCTTTAGACTTTCAGATACCCCAAAATTGCTACTGTGCCTTTGGCCAGACCCCAAAAACTTGGGGCAAAGTTTACCAAGAAAGTAAACAGTCAAAAGGTAGGTATGTGGGAGAGACAGCCACAAACCACCTCCAGCTCAGCTATATAATTGGAGGTATGGACTCTCTGGGTCCTGATCAAACTGTTTAATGGCCATGATCCCAGAGACTCAGAAACAAATCTCGAAACCCAATGGGTTTCGGCAGAAATGCATCCAGTCCCTGCAGTAGGTAACCAGCGCCAGGCCACCCCAGGTGGGAATAGGTTTCGTGCCTTGGCCTGTTCTCCCAGGCGGCCTGGTGGCCACCATCCTCCAGAGGCCACTGGACAGTCAGGTTTGGCCCTGAAGTGACAAGACACGCCTGACCACATGGGATGGGGATGGAGCCGGACCTTTCCTCCCCATCCCAACGAGATCTGAGTCGCCACCCATTAATGGCCTCTCTAGATCCTGATAAAGCCATTTAATGGCCATGATCCCAGAGACTCAGAAACAAATTGCAGAACCCAGCAGGTTTTGGCAGAAATGCGTCCAGTCCCTGCAGTAGGTTACCGGTGCTGTGCCACCGCAGGTGGGAACAGGTTTCATGCCTTGGCCTGTCCCACCTGGCAGCCCGGTGGCTGCCATCCTCCAGAGGCCACTAGACAGTCAGGTTTGGGCCCACAGCGATGAGACACGCAGGGCCTCATGGGATGGGGGCGAAGCCAGCCCTTTCCTTCCCATCCCCACAAGACACCGAGTCGCCGCCCACGAACGGCCTCTCTGGCTCCTGATCAAGCTGCTTAATGGCCATGATCCCAGAGACTCAGAAACAAATCTTGAAACCCAGTGCCTTTTGGCAGAAATGCATCCAGACCGCACAGTAGGTTACTGTTGCTGGGCCACCCCAGGGGCGAAAGGGTGCTGTCACTCCACCTGCTCCCCTTTGGTGGCTTGGTGGCCACCATCCTCCAGAGGTCACTGGACAGTCAGGTTTGAGCCCACAGTGGCAAGACACACGGGGCCTCACAGGATGGGGGTGGAGCTGACCCTTTCCTCCCCACCCCAAGACCCGAGTCACCACCCATGAACGGCCTCTCTGGCTCCTTATCAAGCTGCTTAATGGCCATGATCCCATAGACTCAGGAACAAATCCTGGAACCCAGAAGGTTTTGGCAGAAATCCTTCCAGATTTAACTGTTAAAATTTCAGAATTTCAAAATCACGCAGTCACTACTGCAGCCACACGACATCATATGTTATTCATAATCAGCAATAGAAAAAAACTTGTCTACTGTTGCCTTTTCAGCAGATCTAAGTGTTGGGGTAAAATCCCAAATAATAATGGTGAGTTTGGTGTCAAAATATTGAATGTAATCAAAGTAGAGAGAGAGTAATGCAGAAATCATCTGCCCCACAAGTAGGGGGAGGGTGGGATGGGGGCATACTGGGGATATTGGTGGTGGAGAATGGACACTGGTGAAGGTACGGGTGTTTCATTGTATGACTGAGACTTAAACCTGAAAGCTTTGTAACTGCTCTCATGGTGATTCAATAAATAAAATTATAAAAAGTTAAAAAAAAGGTGGAGTTCATGCCCAATTCAATCAGCTAATCAGTGGCTGAATAAATAGCAGTACTCCTACATAAAATAAATAATAAATAAATAAATAAATAAAAATTAAAATAAAGGTGAGCTAGCTAGATTACAGAGTGGAGAAGGAAAGAAACAGAGTGAAGGGGAGACCAAGAAGATGAGATAGATGAGAAGCAACGGGTGCAGGTCAAGGGGATTCAGGTACATTAATGGTGTTAAGGAACCAAAAAAAAAAAAAAAGCCAAATGCTCAAACCACAGAGTCAATCACATTGAAGCCATGAGACACAAACTTTAACAACAGGACTTTAAAAGGTGCCTGTCAAGAGAGAAGACTCAGATTGGGTGTAGGGGTTGGGGTTGGGGTGCTGGGAGGGAACCTGGTAACATTGGTGGAGGGAAGTTGACATTGGTGTTGGGATCAGTATTGGAACACTGTAAGTCTAAAACACAACTATGAATATATTTGTAAAGCATGGTACTTTAATAATGTTTAAAAATATGTATGTCTTCTCTCCCAGAAGTGAGCATAACATGACTCAGCACCAGGCTGTCTCACTCTGGGCACCCCAGGAGGGTGGGTGCGATCCCTCCCTGCCCCAAGGGACCCACCCCGGCAGCCGAAAACCTCCAGAACTCAACCACCACCATGGTCATGGCCACTTTCCACATACACACGGGCCAAGCCTCACCAATGAGTAAACCTATTCCTGTACCATCGCGTGATACTTCATATCACACACCTTACCCATACTCCAAGAGTACTGCAACACATTTGGTGGAGTTCAAAGTAGGAGGCAACCATTCTTAGAGGGAAATATTTATATGTATAAAAGCACACAAGACTCAACCTCTAACAACATATTAGTGATCTCCTATAGAAGGGTTAATGGCCCCTGAGTAAAATACAACAATCTTCACCCTCTTTCCTTTAAAAATACTTTTTTGTAGCATTTTCAGAAGTTTTTCATAACAAAGAGTACAAACTATTATTTCGGTTCTTCTTTGGGGTAGGGATTGGGGTTTGAGATGGAAACACCTGAAATATAGTGGTGGGACGGTGTAATGGTGGTAGGATTGGTGTTTGAATATTAAATGTAGTAAAATACTGTGAACTAATTTATAAAATAAAAAATTACAAATAAATAGAAATATATGTATATTTTGCATAATTATACATACTAAAGAAATTCTTAAAAAAGAAAGTTTATTTGATTTTATTTTTCCTTATATATACAACTAAATCTAGTACATCCAGTAGATATCCAGAATATAAGTATTTACCTTACATTAATAAAATCTAAATGTTACATCTCTTAAATACATATATCCAATTATGTACACATATCACCATTGGTCAACTTCTTGAAGCTTACTTAAAAATAATTATAAATTCTGAAAAGTAATATATTATGAAATACTCTGTTCTACAGTAACATAAAACCCATATAATCTTAGATGATTTAAAAAATATAAACATTTATAAATTACTGTAGTGTCAACACTGTCTCATCATGAAAGAGTTATTTTTGTAAATCAGAGCCTGATTTCTTCAAGTACCAAAATTTCCACTTCATCATTTTTCATGAAAAGTTCACAAAATGTAACATCCTGAATATTAACAAAATCCTTTATAACTAAATCCTTTATAACTGAATTTAACAAAATCCTTTATAACTAAAAAATCATTTTGAACGTCAACTATTTAGTGACTTGATGATTGAAACTATACATGAAGTAGTTTATTTTCTTCTAAATTAGTGGCTGAATACTGGTATCATTTGCAGTTGTTTTGTTTCTTCTTGGCAGTTGTTCCACCACTCCATCAGTGAGATTTTCAGTATCTGTCACTATCTTACAACTAGAAAATGTTCGGTTTTTATTCTGAGCTTCCATGTATATGACAGACAAAACCTAAACACCATTAGCCTTGGCTACAACAGGAAGCGGTACTTACACAGTGAGTGCTACTGGGGCAAGAGAGATAATAGAGAGGTTATGGCATTTTCTTGGCTGCGTCCATGCCCTGTTCAACCCTGGGCCCTGCGGGGTCCTTGAGCACAGCCAGGTGTGATCCCTGAGCAAAGAGCCCCAAGTAAGCCCTGAGGACAGCCAGATGTGGCTCAAAGAAAATTCTCTTAAAATTAAAAAAAAAATAAATTGTGAGTGGACAGAAGGGAACTGCTGCTGAATAGAGTTATCATGCCTTCCCCCCACTATCTTGTATGTTGCTCTGAATTTCCTGCATCCTAAATACCGAAGTTTTTCATAGTCATCTGACTTCAACCTCAAGTGTTCACATGGTTTCTGGTTTAAGTCTGTCTGTGTCTCTAACTCCTGGTTGCTGCCCTTCTAATTCCCTAAGGGACTTACTTCCCTAGCTCCTAACTCATTCTCTCTTGCATTTTAATTTGTGTTTCTACTTTCAGAAATCATTATCACAACTTTTCACTGAACATATCTCTAAAGTCTAAATTACTCTGATCCTGGTAACCGACTTCACAGTGTATCTTAACACCTGCTTATGAAAAGCAAACTTAAGGAAAACTGATACTGGACCTTATTAAATAGCAATCTCAGAAATTTCAAATAGGATGTACACCAAGATTTCTTTTACTCAGTATAACTTTTGACCAGAAGTTATTTTGCTTGCTATTAACTGAGCTATTTCCTCCATATCTTGAGTAGACAAATTTGGCCTATGTTTAACCAAATAAAAACAGTGTTACAGTATTACCAACATGTGAAATAATTTCTTTGAAATAAACAGATCAGCTAAAGAGCAGAATTTAATGTTTTAATCATACAATAATAACGCATACCTATTAATAAGAAAACCAATATTTAGGTGCTAAAGGAAATGTAGTGGGTGATCAGGTTTTTTGTTTTTAATAAGAAAAAATAAAGTTCCAAGTACATAAACATTGATCAATGGTTCATTAAGATATCTCTTCAAGTGTAATTGGCACTTTTCTTTCCTGGAGCTGGTAATTTCCTCTGGAATGAATGTCAATTTAATAATACTATCACAGAATCATAAAAAAGTATTAAAATCTGCAACAAAAAAATCTCCATTTTTATGTAAAATTTGAAATTAATCAGCTCTTATTCTAGTTTATTAGAAAATTAGGTTTCCATATCTAAACTACAGGAAATTTAAGCGTGTGTGAATGTGAATATGTGAGTGTGTGTGTTTCTGTGTGTGACAGTGTGTGCGCGCTTGTACGTGTAATCACATGCTTTTTAGTCCTTAGGTGGGATTTAAAGGCACAAGTTTGTTACTTAGATTAAAACAAAAGCATAAGTCTATACATACACACAAAAATATATTTAATTGTAAAATAGCAATTTTAAAAATAACTGTCTCTATTGAGTAATGCTGTAATGGCAGTGAGCATTCTTACAACTGAGGTTAATCTTCCTGCTGCATAAGTTTCCTCCATTTCTAGTTCACCCTTAATTTCCTGCTTTGTTGAGATCACAGTGGACAGAAACAGTACTCACAACTGTGTCTTGATTTTGAAATGACACGTCTACGCAGGGCGATGGTGGTGGTTTGTACAAAAAAATTGCAAGCCCAATGAAGAAAATGGTGATAATTTTACAAACAACACCTAAATATAAATACACAAAAAGTTATTCATTTAGTCAATTCTTGTAAAAATATTGTACCTGGTAAGAAATTTTTCATGAATAGGCACTACATTAAAAAAAAACTATGTGGGCATTATCATTCAATATTTAAATATTTTTTAACTTTAGGGAACAAAGTGATACCCCTTAATAAAATATCTGTATATAATTCAATAAACTAAGTTACTTTTCTAAATAAAAATGTACAATAGTTATTCTGGGCTGGAGCAATAGCACAGCAGGTAGGGCGTTTGCCTTGCACGAGGCCGTCCTGGGTTCAATTACTCTTCCCCTCTCAGAGAGCCTGGCAAGCTACCAAGAGTATCCTGTAGAGCCTGGCAAGCTACCCGTGGGGTATATATTTCTAACAACATTGTCACTGTCACTGTCCTCCCATTGTTCATCGATTTGCTCGAGCGGGCCCAGTAACGTCTTCATTGTGACACTTGTTACTGTGTTTGGTATATCGAATACATCACAAGTAGCTTTCCAGGCTTTGCCGTGGAGCAAGATACTCTAGGTAGCTTGCCGGGCTCTCTGAGAGGGGCGGAGGAATCGAACTCGGGTCGCTATGTTGGCTGCGTGCAAGGCAAACGCCCTACTCGCTATTCTATCGCTCCAGCCCAACAACATTGTATAGATTTAAAAATATTGATGGACTGGTGACCTAGAACAGTGGGTTATGCGCTTGCCATGCATGAAGCCAATTTGGGTTCAATATCCAGCATCCCACATGATCCCATGAGCTCTGCCACGACTGATCCTTGAGTCAAGAGCCAGGATAAGACCTGAACACCACTGGGTGTGACTCCAAAACAAAACAAAACAAAACGAAAATTTTTTGAAACTTTTTTATTTGTGGCTCACACTCAGTGGAACTCAAGGATTAGTCCTGACTGCTCAGCGATCAGCCCTGGCAGGGTTCAGGGCACCAAATACCGCGTCAGGAAATCAAGCTGGATAAACCGCCTTAACCCTGTAGTGTCGCTCCAGCCCATATGCTTTTTTAAATATTAAAGTCTGTTAGGTTTTGTAATTTTTTTCTTCTCATATGCACTAAATGACTTGCCCTACTTCCTTAATTTCACTTACTGTTCAACCAAGACCAGATGAAACAGATTACAGAGCAAAAAATAATTACCATGGATACCTTTCTAAACTATAAAACGGTTTATTTTTAAACACATCTTAAAATCAAAGGATAGTACTTTCTTAACTCAGATCTATGTGCTTCACAAAAGCTCAGGTACTGAGACAAGATTTTTTTTTCTCTACATATCACTGGTTTAAAATCACCAAGAAAGATACCACTTACTTATGGATACTAGCATGTGAGCCATTTTGATGTTGTTATAAATCCAGCAAGCTCCTTTAACTCCACATTCATTAATATCCCAGAGAATGCAGGTGCTGTCTATTGTGAAGCCAAATATAATTGGTCCAGGTATTGTGCCTAAGTAAAGTATACATAAAACACACTTGTTTAATATGATAGCTGGATATTTTACATGCATGTTATATTTTATCTAACTCATATAAATTAAAATCTGCTCATAAGCAAATAATCCACCTCATGTCCAATAGACATAACACAGTTAAAAATAATTATAGATAGTAATTATATTTCTAATCAAATTATTTTAATAAAGATATGGCACAAATTGAGTAAACATTCGTTTCTGTTTTCAAAAATTATCAGGACATTCTATGTATGACACTGCTTCACACAAAAAATTATGTGGATAATACTTTGTCTCTCTTATTTGTCATATGTTGGACCTTATAACATTTTCTGCTATAAATTCTTTTTCCAATCTTAACAATTATTTATGCCAAAGGGTTTGGATGTTGCTAGTTCTGTTCATTGTGTGTGTGTGTGTGTGTGTGTGTGTGCGCGCGCGAGCGCGCGCTGAGTATGACACCCAAGGCATATGAGGCAAGCACTGGCTGCCAAACCACATCCCTCACCCCACACCATGATATTTATTTAACATTTTCATTCATCTAATTTATGTACATAAAATATAATGTGTACTCTGTGCCAGGCTGTGGGTGGGTGAGAGCCCTCCCCACCCCAAGGGACCCAGCCCTGGCAGCAGACCTCCACTGCCCAACCACCGCCAGCTCTAGGCCTCTTTCCAGATGCTCAGGCTGAGCCTCATGCAAGAATGAAGTCACACAGAACCCAGATAATGCGGAACTTTGTGACCTTGGACTCTGAACTCAACAGGACCCGGAACGGGGAACAGAGATCCTCTGCCTCCTTCCCCCAGTCTCCAGGGACTCAGGGATCACACCCATATGACACACCCTGCCTGCACCAGATAATCTCATCGGCCACCCTCCAGAACTCATGGATGCTCCTCCCAGATGGGATTATAAAAGGAGGCCCCCATAACCATGCCACTGGACTCCGTGCCAGGCTGTGGGGTGGGTGAGAGCCCTCCTCACCCCAAGGGACCCAGCCCTGGCAGCTGACCTCCACTGCCCAACCACCGACACACTCTATGTCAGTTTCTAGATCGCGTGGCCACAAAGTGGCCACACAACACGTTATAAGACACTTCCTACCCATGTATGCCTCTCAGAGAGCTCAGCAAGCTACCAAGAATAGCCCACCCACACAGGCAGACCCTGGCAAGCTCCCCGTGCCGTATTTGACATGCCAAATACAGTAACGACAATAGGTCTCATTCCACTGACCCTCAAAGTGCCTCCAATTGTTGGGAAAAGACGAGTAAGAAGAGGCCACTAAAATCTTAGGGCTGGAATGAACAGAGACATTACTGGCATCCGCTAGAGTAATTTGAGGACCAACGGGATGACAGTGATACAGTGATACATTTTATCAACAAACCATAGACGGAAACATATATATATATATATACATACATATATATATAAACATATATATATATACATATATATATATCTGACTGGGAACACCTGTAAAGGTGACTAGAGGTCGCCCCAAAAGCCTGAAACCCGGACAGCATTCAGCCGAAGAGAAGAACAACATGGAGGGCGGGATCCACAGATCCCGAAGGAAAAAAGAAAAAAAACACAGTTTTCAAAAAGAGCCGAGATCATCGGGAGGTCCGAGATGGGGTAGGTACCGCATCCGCCTCCCCCAGATGGAACCCCGGTGACCAGAAACCTCTACAAGCACAGCTCGAGTACGCGGGACCTAGGACTTTTCCTCAAAACCGCGCGGCCGCTTATGCGGCCGCGCGACATCTCTCTATATACAAAGTGATCCATGGGAAGTAAAACACCTAACATTTCTCTCTGAAAATCATAGTTAAGCTTTGAGCACAGCCACAGCCCCAGAAACACAAGGACTTAATGCATAACCCAGCAGCTTGGAGCAGAAAAGTGAACGGGCTATGCGTTAATCCAGGCCATCATGTCTGCCAGAGGGGAAAGGGTGTTGGTCCCTTCCACCCTCCTCCCTCTGGAAAGAAAGGTGGCGGCCACATGGGAGCCTTGTGGACAGCAGGTATGAGCCGGGGGTGTGGGGGCGACTAAAACCTCATGGGAAGGGGGGCGTTCCGGTCAGTCCTTCACGCCCTACCGAGGCCACCAGTTGCCCCCCACGAGCGGCTCTCCAGCACAGCCACAGCCCCAGAAGCACAAGGACTTAATGCAGAACCCAGCAGCTTGGAGCAGAAAAGTGAAAGGACTATGCGTTAATCCAGGCCATCAAGTCTGCCAGAGGGGAAAGGGTGTTGCCCCATTCGCCCTCTCTTCTCTGGAAAGAAGGATGGCGGCCGCATGGGAGCCTTGTGGACAGCAGGTATGAGCCGGGGCTGTGGGGGCGACTAAAACCTCATGGGAAGGGGGGCGTTCTGGTCCGTCCTTCACGCCCTACCGAGGTCACCAGTTGCCCCCCACGAGCGGCTCTCCAGCACAGCCACAGCCCCAGAAACACAAGGAATTAATGCAGAACCCAACAGCTTGGAGCAGAAAAGTGAAAGGACTATGCGTTAATCCAGGCCATCAAATCTGCTGGAGGGGAAAGGGTGTTGCCCCATTCGCCTTCTCCTCTCTGGAAAGAAAGATGGCGGCCACATGGGAGCCTTGTGGACAGCAGGCATGAGCCGGGGGAGCGTGGGCGATTAAAACCTCATGGGAAGGGGGACGTTCCGGTCCGTCCTTCACGCCCTACCGAGGTCACCAGTTGCCCCCCACGAGCGGCTCTCCAGCACGGCCACAGCCCCAGAAGCACAAGGACTTAATGCAGAACCCAGCAGCTTGGAGCTGAAAAGTGAAAGGACTATGCGTTAATCCAGGCCATCATGTCTGCCCGGAGGGGAAAGGGTGTTGGTCCCTTCCGCCCTCCTCCCTCTGGAAAGAAAGGTGGCGGCCACAGGGGAGCCTTGTGGACAGCAGGTATGAGCCGGGGGAGTGGGGGCGACTAAAACCTCATGGGAAGGGGGGCGTTCCGGTCCGTCCTTCACGCCCTACCGAGGTCACCAGTTGCCCCCCACGAGCGGCTCTCCGGCACGGCCACAGCCCCAGAAGCACAAGGACTTAATGCAGAACCCAGAAGCTTGGAGCAGAAAAGTGAAAGGACTATGCGTTAATCCAGGCCATCAAGTCTGCCAGAGGGGAAAGGGTGTTGCCCCATTCGCCCTCTCTTCTCTGGAAAGAAGGATGGCGGCCGCATGGGAGCCTTGTGGACAGCAGGTATGAGCCGGGGCTGTGGGGGCGACTAAAACCTCATGGGAAGGGGGGCGTTCTGGTCCGTCCTTCACGCCCTACCGAGGTCACCAGTTGCCCCCCACGAGCGGCTCTCCAGCACAGCCACAGCCCCAGAAACACAAGGAATTAATGCAGAACCCAACAGCTTGGAGCAGAAAAGTGAAAGGACTATGCGTTAATCCAGGCCATCAAATCTGCTGGAGGGGAAAGGGTGTTGCCCCATTCGCCTTCTCCTCTCTGGAAAGAAAGATGGCGGCCACATGGGAGCCTTGTGGACAGCAGGCATGAGCCGGGGGAGCGTGGGCGATTAAAACCTCATGGGAAGGGGGACGTTCCGGTCCGTCCTTCACGCCCTACCGAGGTCACCAGTTGCCCCCCACGAGCGGCTCTCCAGCACGGCCACAGCCCCAGAAGCACAAGGACTTAATGCAGAACCCAGAAGCTTGGAGCTGAAAAGTGAAAGGACTATGCGTTAATCCAGGCCATCATGTCTGCCCGGAGGGGAAAGGGTGTTGGTCCCTTCCGCCCTCCTCCCTCTGGAAAGAAAGGTGGCGGCCACAGGGGAGCCTTGTGGACAGCAGGTATGAGCCGGGGGAGTGGGGGCGACTAAAACCTCATGGGAAGGGGGGCGTTCCGGTCCGTCCTTCACGCCCTACCGAGGTCACCAGTTGCCCCCCACGAGCGGCTCTCCGGCATGGCCACAGCCCCAGAAGCACAAGGACTTAATGCAGAACCCAGCAGCTTGGAGCAGAAAAGTGAAAGGACTATGCGTTAATCCAGGCGATCATGTCTGCCCGGAGGGGAAAGGGTGTTGGTCCCTTCCGCCCTCCGCCCTCTGGAAAGAAAGGTGGCGGCCACATGGGAGCCTTGTGGACAGCAGGTATGAGCCGGGGGTGTGGGGGCGACTAAAACCTCATGGGAAGGGGGGCGTTCCGGTCCGTCCTTCACGCCCTACCGAGGTCACCACTTGCCCCCCGCGAGCGGCTCTCCAGCACGGCCACAGCCCCAGAAGCACAGGGACTTAATGCAGAACCCGGCAGCTTGGAGCAGAAAAGTGAACGGGCTATGCGTTAATCCAGGCCATCATGTCTGTCCGGAGGGGAAAGGGTGTTGCCCCAGTCGCCTTCTCCTCCCTGGAAAGAAAGATGGCGGCCGCATGGGAGCCTTGTGGACAGCAGGTATGAGCCGGGGGAGTGGGGGGCGACTAAAACCTCATGGGAAGGGGGGTGTTTCGGTCCGTCCTTCAAGCCCTACCGAGGTCACCAGTTGCCCCCCACGAGTGGCTCTCCAGCACGGCCACAGCCCCAGAAGCACAAGGACTTAATGCAGAACCCAGCAGCTTGGAGCAGAAAAGTGAAAGGACTATGCGTTAATCCAGGCCATCATGTCTGTCCGGAGAGGAAAGGGTGTTGGTCGCTTCCGCCCTCCTCCCTCTGGAAAGAAAGGTGGCGGCCATATGGGAGCCTTGTGGACAGCAGGTATGAGCCGGGGGAGTGGGGGCGACTAAAACCTCATGGGAAGGGGGGCGTTTCGGTCCGCCCTTCACGCCCTACCGAGGCCACCAGTTGCCCCCCACTAGCGGCTCTCCAGCACGGCCACGACTCCAGAGCACAGAAACCAATTTCTTAACTATCTGACTTTCAGTATAAATACTTCCAGGGTCAATAAGTAAAATAGCAGAAATCCAAAACCAACATTTAATTCTTGAACCCAGCTGTAGAAAGCAAATCACGTCACAATGCTTTTTCAGCATGTCTGATTTGGAGGGGGGGGTAAACTCTAAATAATAGTGGTGAATCTTTTATTGAAACAATGAATCTAATCAAAGCAGATAGAGTGTTAACTAGAATTTATCTGCCCCACAGGGACTGGGAGGGGTGGGGGTGGGGTTTTATTGGGGTTCTTCATGTTAAAAAAGAAGTATTGGTAAAGGGAAATGTGTTTGATATTTGCATGACTGAGACCTAAACCTGAAAGCTTTGTAACCTTTCCCACGGTGATTCAATAAATAAAAAAAATAAAATAAAAAAAAAAGCCTCAAACCCTCTCGGAGAGCCCAGCAAGGTACCGAGAGTATCTCACTGGCACAGCAGGGCCTGGCAAGCTACCCGTGGCGTATCAATATGCCGAAAACAGTAACAATGACAGTCCTCATTCTCCAGACCCTGAAAGTGCCCCTGATACGCCATCGGGATACACTAGCACACAACAGTGATGAATGGAGATATTACTGGCACCCGCTCGAGCAAATCAATGAACAATGGGATGACAGTGATACCTGAAAATATAATGTGAGTCCTATTTTTATTACTGACCTAATTATATCCCAAATTGAGATAAAAGCAGAAAGGAAAGGAACTACAGCAGTTCTAAATAGTATTTTATCATAAATGAGATTAGGAATAGATTTTATATGAATAGGAAAAAGCAGGCAATGTCCCCTGGAAAAAAGCTGGTAACCACAATCAGGAAGGGCCCAAATAGAATGAGTCAATAGCTATATTCTAAATCAATATGTCATATTTTGAAGGGTTATTTTACCAACAGAATCAGTGGGGGGGGGGCAGTACAATCAAGGAGCGGCAAGGTCAAAAGTAAGCAGGTAGAGCAGGTAGGCACTGCCTTGCAAGTGGCCCATCTGGTTATGATCCCTCACAGCTCTGTGGTCCCCAAGACTCCATCAGAAATGACCCCTGACCACAGAGCTAGGAGCGAGCCCTAAGAACCACAGGGTATGGCCCAAGAAACAAACAAAACTTTTAAATAGGAAGGTAAAAAGCCATTATTTTCTTATGAAATATATATAAGCAATACTGCATGGCAAATATTGGAAACATTTTATACAATTGTGTTGCTTTCTGCTGCATTTAAGTACTTTTTTGACATATCCTATAAAAATACATCAATTTCATTAACAAAAATATTGTACAATTACCAACTACTAAAACTGTCATACCTAATAATCGAAGCAGCATAAACTGTATCCCCAATGCAAACGAGCGTTGTCTATGATTAACACACCTAGAAATATTAAATGTATATAAAATAAAAACAGTAGTACAGTAGATTTACTCTTCGAGCAAAATAATTTTTACATCAGCGTAACATATCTACACATAAAATAATGCTTATACTCGGTTTACTCTTCTGGAAGTTAAGTTATATGAACTAAATACTACCAATAATAACTCCCAAAACTGAATTTTAACAGATGTATTGAATATGTATGAATTTTAAGAAATGTAGAGGAGATAGAAGAGTTATTAACAGGACTTATTTTTGTTGACTGCTATTAACTAAAACTGCAAACAAATGATTCTAATTCCAATGCTTATTAAGTATGAAACAGAAATCAAACCTGTGAAGTCAAAACATGAAGTTGACGCAATGTAAACTTTTCTGAAGGTCTGAGTCAAAAGTAATTCTGTGTTTTAAATTTATTTAAATTTGATATTTATTGTAACTTATAAAAGGTGGTTACAATAATCTTAACTTGCATAGCATTGATGTGTTTGCATAATTACCTTTACCATCAACAACAATAATTTAAGCAATGACTATCAAAGACGAATGAAGCCTGACATGAGCTCAAAAGTGAGTAAGAAAAAGACAGGAAAGATAAATTAGTTTTAAAAAACAAGTATGCCAAGGAATGAGGGTTCTAGCATTTCCTCTATTCTTAAACTCACTCCAACTTTCGTGCAGTGCAATTTTAACAACCTTGTACTTTTAGATAGGATCTCCAAAAATTCTTTTCAACAAAAAGTATGTGAAAAGGTTGTAAATGAAAATTCAGGAGCAAAGATTGAAGAAGAAAAATGCTAGAATTTGTTAGGAAAAAGAGAGAAAGGCTAAGGAGCTCATGGAAAGGAAGGTAAGTATTTTCCTAAAGAGCTGCTGAACAGGAAGGCATGTGAGCGCAGCACCCTGAAAGAGTACATGTCACTGTGGTTCTGGCACATGGCAGGTCTGCATTTCCCCATACCTGAGTACAGCTGAACACATCTCCAGCACATGCTGGAAACTGTCAGATATCTGGGGATCATTTTCAATGATAAATGAATTATTATCTTTCTATGGAACAAATGGTCAACAGAAACGCCAAGTCAATGTTTTTACTTAACATATTGCCTTAAGGGCAATGAATTTCACAGTCAAATACATACCTTAGTATGGAAACAGTTACGGGAGTACCAGCCATAAAGGTAAAAATAACTGTAACAAAGAAAACTCCAAGGAATATGGGCAAGTATGTACACTGAGTTTCACATTTTCCAGCTTTAGCTTCAAACTCTGAGTTTTCTGCAGTAGGAGATACTTCTATCCTCTTTTCAATACAGGAACAGTTGTTATATACCTAGGAAAATTACATATAAAAATACAAGTAATTATCTTGAACTTGTAAAGTGGGTAATGTCTAAACATGGCAAATAACCTCATCTTAATCCATACACAGTAAGACAGTGATTACAGTATTCAGCTAAAAAACATACACATCAAATTAGACACATCAAAGTTACCAGTACCTTTTCAAGAATGTTATGCTATTATATGTGTCTTCTGCCTATTTCTTTGTGCAGATGGTATTTGTGCCTAAATATTTTTAGCTATGTGATTAAACCCTCACCAATAATTTGATGCTGACTGAAAAAATGCATACTCTTGGTGTATCAGATATTTTTTTCCTTTTTCTTTTGGTGATGTCAGGACTTGAACCCAGGGTCTCACGCATACAAGGCCCGTGCTCTGAAGTTCGGCCACAGCACTGGCCCCTTGATACATGCTTTGATCTACTTTACATACAGAAAAAAAGCTACCTGCTTCATCCACCTTCCAAAATAATAAATATCTCTATAGCTCTGGTTATATGGTACACACCTGGGGAATCTGACTCCTTGTAACGAAGACAAAAACCTGACTTTTTCACCTCAACTTCAAACAAAAATACGTCATATTTCTGTTGATTTGATGTATGATAACTCTACTTGGGAATGAATTTTCAAGAATTTTTTAGGTATTTTATGGTTAAGATATCTTATTTTATTCCAAACAATAAAAGCATACATTTAACCACACTGAGTATTTAATGTCTACTGATTCATTACAGACATTTTTCTATATATTTTCCAATGGTCTTAGCACACCACTTTAAATATAAAGTAGGAACTATAAAAGGGAGCATTGTTTCTCACTGTCTGGTTTATCCTCACCTGAAAGTTTAAACACTAGTCAGTTGAGATAAACATCTAATGTGTCAAACACAAAAGCATGATGGGGTAGAGAGAGACAAGAGCGGACAGGGCATTTGCTCTGTGTGCTGTCAATACGGGTTCAATCCGCAGAATCCCATTATGGTTTTCTAAGCCCTACCAGGAGTGATCACTTGTCACAGAGCCTGAGCACCCCCAGGAGTAATTCCTGAGTGCAGATCCTGGAGTAACTCCTGTGAATCGCCGGGTGTGAGCCCCCCCACCCAAAAAAAAGAGATGTGTAGATAAGCACAGACACAGACTTGTGTATATAAGAACATAATATCTATGAATTAGCCCACCCACATACTCATTTTAGCTTGAGAAGAAATATGAAGAGTCTATTTTTATATACAGCTTCAATGAATCATTTATATTTATGTAGAAATATTTTATTGCCAGATTTAACTTATCTTTCTAATAAGGAAAATGATGTCATTTCAACATTCCCTATTCAAACATTCAAGACTGTGTTGCTTTGTCATGCACTGTAGTACTGTCCTCCCATTGTTCATCGATTTGCACGAGTAGGCACCAGTAATGTCTCCATTGTGAGACTTGTTGTTGCTGTTTTTGGCATATCAAATATACCACGGGGAGCTTTCCAGACTCTCCCGTGGGGGTGGGATACTCTCAGTAGCTTGCCAGATTCTCTGAGAGAAACGGAGGAATCAAACCTGGGTCAGCCGTGTGCAAGGCAAACACACTACCCGTTGTTCTATTGCTCCAGCCCAGGCTTTGTCATACAACCCTACCTAATCTATTCATTATGATCATGATCACGACCATCCTGATGTTCGTCGATTGCCTCGAGCAGGCCCCAGTAACGTCTCCTTTAACCTAGCCCTGAGATTTTTTTTTTAAAGTGCCATATTAAAAGCACTTTCAGGGTTAGGAGAATGAGACCTATCATTGTTACTGGTATTTGGCATATTGGGTACACCACGGGGAGTTTGCCAGACTCTGCCATGTGGGCAGGTTACATATGGTAGCCTGCCATTTTGTCCAAAGTATGAATAGATAATAAGATGTCGCACGCAAATTTGCAAATGCAGCCGCGCGCTTCCGGGAGCTGGGTTTTATGATCTCTTGCAATCTATATTTCCTTTAGGCTTTTTCAGGGGAGGGGTATTGTTATTAGCCCACATCTGATGGTGCTCAGGACATACTCCTGGTTCTGTGCTCAGGGAATGCATATGCAGTGCGGGAGATCAAACTGGGGTCAGCCATGTGCAAGGCAATTACTCTAACTCCTATATTAATTCTTATAACCCTCTCTCAGTCTTTTTTAAAAAATTCAGAGGCTAGGGCCAGAGAGACAGAAAGTAGTGGTAGGGCACTTGCCTTTTATTCAGTCAACCTGGGTTCGATCCCCATTACCACATATGGTTTCCTCAAAGCCCTACCTTTAAGCAAACCAAGTGTGACCCCAAGCCAAAAATAAATAAATAAAAGTATATGCATTATCCTTTGCTGGAGGATGCATTATGTTCTGCAAGTAATCTGATTAGAATCTGTTTCCAGTGCTCTTAAATTTAGCTTGATCATCTTTAGATTGTAGCTATAATAATAAAATACAACTAAATGCTCCTAACCTATCTAACTAATAAAAATAACCACACCTAGGTAAACTGCAATGAATTCTAATGCAAGATGAAAAGAAAATTTGTCTTTGAGAATTAATTTTAATGTGGGACATGAAATAAAGACAAGAAATGCTTATTATGCCTTTGTTATACATGCTGTACACTGAAAAGGGCAAGTTCGAGGGACGAAGATTAAAAAAGTAAGATGCTTACCTTGCAGATGACCCTGGCCCAAGCCCTGGCACCAAATATGTGAGCCCCACCAGGAGTGAACCCTGAGCACAGAGCCAAAAAAGCCCTGAGCAAAACAAGTGTGGACCAAAAGGCATAGCGGGGGGTGGCGGGGGGAGTGAAGAAGAGAGAAAAGAGAAGTTCTATAACATTGAGCAGCTCAAAAATAGTTGAGAAAGATAAAAAGTATTTAAAAACTAAATAATATTTTGGTGTCATAAGTAATGTCCACAGATGGTGGTGAACAACTCCCAGAGAGACTGGTCAACAGGAAGTCAAGATCGGACACTGTCCCCAGAGAATGACCCATAATATGACTCGTGCCAGAGGAGCAATAGACACAGTTACCTTTGACTGTCCTTGGGTAGAAGAGTATTTGCAACCTGCAAAGCACGGAGAAAAGTACTGGACTCTGTTTCCTCCGCAGACGGGATAATAATATGATCTCAAGCAGTGGCAGTCAGTGTTACAAGGGGCGGTCAAGGTTCCCAGCTCTCCGGTCCTGTGCAGAAGAAAGGAGAAATTATCCACGTTTGACATTTTAATGAACGATTCACTAGCTTGCCTGCCATCGCTGCTGCTCAGTCACTTATGAACAGTTAGTCAGCGTGACACGTATTTAAATTGTGAACAAATAAAAATAAATTGCATGTCTGCTTTTTACGAGAGCTTAACTTTCTCGTGCTAGACAGAGGCAATGTAAACCATAGTTGCATGATATAATGTCAGTGATGAGAAAAGTAAGCAGCACTGGCAAATAAAACAGTTTCTCCTAGCATACCAGTAAATTAGTCATGGGGCAGCGACAAAGCAGGTGTTCACTATAGCTTAGATGACATCGGCAGCATCCCTGCTCCAGCTCCTCGGTGCCACTTCCATTTCCTTGGTTCTAACGCAGACATACTGGACCTTGTCAAATTTCTTTGGTAGAAAGGCAACATTTTAAGCCCGGAGGTATGGATAAAACTACTATGGGTTAACACATTCATTTATATTAGGAAAACAGAAGCCCAGAAAGAATAAGATCTGTTTTCTTTCTTTGTAAAAATGGCATATGTTTTCTGGAGTCCCATTAGGAGTGATCCCTGAGCACAGAGCCAGGGGTAAGCCCTGAGCACCAGGAAGGAAAAGGAATGAAAGGAGTGGAGAGGATGCAGAGAGAACCAAGCTGAGCACTGCCCCATGCTTGCAGCCATTTAACTGGAAGAATGTATCTTATAATCAGAGGGGGCGACCCTCAGCCAAAACGCTACTGCAGTGACTTTCTTGCCCTCCTTTAACCAACAGATTGAGCAAGTACATGGCCCATTCCGGAGACAGAGAGTATCAAGTTTAGAAATATGGTCACATGTCTCAGAGATTTCAGTGTCAGAGTAGAAACCAAGACAGAAAATTGTAAATTCATGTAGGTAAAATTTCAGATAAGTATTTATCTTGGAAGCAAGGAGGAAGGACACTTCGAACAAGCCAAAGTTTAGAAAGTGAGTGAAGGGGCAGTTACTGCCCATGAAGCTCAAAAATTAGCCCATTAGCAAGTGGGGAGAGAAGAGCTTGTCAGTATATAGTTTCAGGAGTGTTGCATGGAATCTTTGCATCTGCCACAAAAGCAGAATTGGGTAGAATAATTTTTTATAGCTATTAATAAATAAACTAGGATTATTGATAAAATTCATTTGAATTCCAGTTTAATCCTACATTCAAAAAACCATTAGGTCAATAATACAGATTATGTAAGGAGATAGTTCTAATAGTCACAATATTCTAATAAGAGTTTCACATCAAATAGAAAGATAAATATAAGTAAAGGTTGGAGTTCAAAGTCACTGATGCAGAATAACTGGTAAAATCTAATATCTGAAAAAAAATACACTTTAAAAAACAGTATTGGAAAAATGTGGATAATATATTATAACCAAGGATTCATATATAACAAGAAGATATGATGCTCATAATATTTATTCACAAATATGGGAGCACTCAAATATAAAAACAGATTATAATCAGAGCTCAAGGAACACAATGCCAGCAACTCAATTAAGTATAGGGGATCGCAACATACCACTGACGGCAATGCACCCAGACAAAAAGAATTAAGATGGAAATAATTATACATATTCAATTATTCAATCTAACAAGATTATATTCATGCACAAAGGCTATATTTGTATAATCATATATGTAGCACTGTAACACTGTCATCCCATTGTTCATTGATTTGCTTGAGCGGGCGCCAGTATATGTATATGTAAATAATTGTATATGTATGTAACAATATTATATTGAAGATAATACCAAGATTTATATAATTCGCGGCCGCGCGACTATTTATTTACTTTTCTCTAAGTTTTCAGGGTATAGCACAGCGGGTGGGCGTTCGCCTTACAAGCGGCCAACATGGCCGACCCGAGTTCGATTCCTCCGCCCCTCTCGGAGAGCCCGGCAAGCTACCGAGAGTATTCGATATGCCAGACACAGTAACAACAAAGTCTCCAATGGAGACGTTACTGGGCCCGCTCGAGCAAATCGACGATCAACGGGAGGGCCTTTACCTTTACCTTTAAATATCCTTAAATATCCAACCCGCACGGCAGAGCCTGGCAAGCTATCCGTGGTCTATGCCAAATAGACCAAATTGATATGCCAAATCCAGTAATAAATGGATCTCATTTCCCTAACCCTGAATATGCAGAGTCGAGAAGGATATGGAAGGAGAGGCTGATAAAACACCAAGGCAGACATAGGCTGCCAAAATGCAGAAAAACAAAAATGATTGTCTGTACTTTTAATGATCGTACGCTGGCATCTGCTGCATCCATTGAAGACCTTATGGTACAAGTGCGAAAGATCAAGTACGACATCATTGGTCTGACCAAAACGAGAAGACATCTATCCCATCATGCTGTTTTCGACACTGGAGAAGAACTGTTCCTTGGAACATGTGATAAAAGAGGCATCGGTGGTGTCGGTATCCTTGTCAACACAAACTTAGTCACGAGCATTGATTCATTCGAATGCCTAACAACCCGAATCGGACGATTACACTTGAATAAATGTGGCTCACTACCGGCAGTTTCTATCTTTGTTGTCTATGCACCAACATCCAGTTATGGTGAAAGAGAAACTGAGAAATTCTACATGGAGCTGGAGAAGTTCTATAAAGAAGATCACACCTTCTACAAGATCATTGTCGGTGATTTTAATGCCAAGATAGGACCAAGAAGATCAGTCGATGAACTCCACATCGGAACCCATGGCCTGGAATGGAACGAACAGGATGACAGACTGTCTGAGTTCATCATGTCAACCAAAACCTTCCATGGTAACTCACAATTCCAAAAGGCTGAATCTAAACGTTGGAAATGGGAGTCTCCCGATGGACGGTTCCACAATGAAATAGACCACATCATATTCAATCGGCGGTTTTGCCTAACCGATGTTGCTGTTGTCCCAAAATTCCAAACGGGATCAGACCACCATCTTCTTCGTGCAAAATTCTACCTCACAGAACGAGGAGAAAAGAATGCAAGGTTTAAGAAGAGGACTCCCAGAACAACCACCAACTGGGAGCTCTTTGGCTCCATTGCGGCAACATGGGAAGATGCCGTCATTGACAACATTGACGAGGAATACGATCGAATGATTCAGCACCTCCATGATTGTGCAAGGAATGCCAAGAGAGAGATAACCACAAAAAACCGTCTTTCTTTATCCACACAATAACCAAGCTCTTTGAGGTATCTCGGGAGTTCAAGATGCCGCTCTGTCTAACGTTCATTGATTTAAAGAAGGCCTTTGATTCTGTTGAGATGGAAGCGGTCATGGAAGCCCTAGCCAATCAGGGCGTACAAACTCAATACATCAAGATCCTTCATGAGCTCTATTGCGGATTCACTACCAAGATCTCACCATTCTACAAAGAAGGAATCATCCATATCAAGAGAGGGGTTCGGCAAGGTGATACCATTTCACCAAAACTCTTCAGTGCCACCCTCGAGAATATCATGCGACGACTGGAATGGGAAAACATGGGAGTGAAGATAGATGGTCGGCAACTACACCACCTCCGCTTTGCTGATGACATCGTTCTAATAACACCAAACATCAACCAAGCGGCACAAATGCTGAACGACTTTGACCGTGAATGTGGAAAGGTCGGACTACAGCTGAATCTTACGAAGACAATGTTTATGAGAAACAGGCTTGTTCCTGATGCTCCATTCGCTCTCAACGGAACCACCATCTCCGAATGCAACAGTTATATATACCTAGGTCGAGAAATCAACATGATGAATGACCTGGCACCTGAGTTGCGCAGGAGGAAGAGAGCGGCTTGGAATGCCTTCAAGAGCATTGAAGAAATAACTAAAAGGACAAAGAACCTCCAGCTACGAGTACATCTCTTTGATTCCACTATTCTTCCTGCATTAACATATGCCTCAGAGACCTGGACCCTACGAAAACAGGATGAGAACGCTATTCGGGTCTCTCAAAGAGGAATCGAAAGAACTATGCTTGGAATATCACGATTCACTCAAATGAGAGATAGAATCCAGAGTTCTGATCTTCGTCAACGCTCAAGAATCAGGGACGCTGTCTCATTTGCCAAGACATCAAAAATCAGATGGGCTGGACACGTAATGAGGTTTACAGACAACCGCTGGACTAGAGCCATTACTGATTGGATTCCACGGGACATCAAAAGATCACGTGGACGCCCACCTATAAGATGGTCAGACTTCTTCGTCAAGACCCTAAATGATCAGTTTGAGGCTCTGCATGTTCCTAGAACGAACAGATACCATTGGGCTACGCTAGCACGCAACCGGGATGAATGGAGACGTTACTGGCACCCGCTCGAATAAATCGATGAATAACGGGGATTAAGCGATTAAGTGATTATATATAAATATAAACACTAAGATATTTGTATACCTTATATTCAATCTATCAAGATTATATTCAAAATTATAACAAGATTTATATGTTATATTTATATACCAAGATATTTATGGGTTGGAACGATAGCACAGCGGGTAGAATATTTGCCTTGCACGTGGACAACCTGGGTTTGATTCCTCCACCCCTCTCGGAGAGCCTGGCAAGCTACTGAGAGCATTCCACCCGCACGGCAAAGCCTGGCAACCTACCCAAGACGTATTTAATATGCCAAAAACAGTAACAACTAGTCTCACGATGGAGACATTACTGGTGCCTGCTCGAGCAAATCAATGAACAATGGAAGGCAGTGTGCCACCAAGATATTTATATAACAATATTATATTTATCTACCAAGATTATATCATATTCAATCTACAAAAGATTACATTATATTTAATTATAATAATTACAGGGGATCCCAACATACCATTTATGGCAGTGCATCCAAAATATTAAGATGGAAATTAAGTAATTGATAAGAACTTAATATATACTGAAATATATATGCCAAAAGAAATAAACACACATTCTTCGCAACTGTAAATGGAGCATTCTTATAGATCA